CTGATAAATAAGCCAACGTTCAAATTGTTTGGATAATAAAACAACTGTACATAGTGCAATTTATACGACAAAAAGTTAAAGAAATTAATCTCGCCCGGCGCATCCACCATAATGGCATAATAATTGGTTATTAATAGTTGTTTTTTTTATTAGTTACAAAGTATTAAAGCAATATTGTACCTACAAAACATTAAGTTTTGTAATGTAATAATAAAATTTTCTCATCAAAAAAACTAAAATCTTCTAATATACAAGTATATTAATTTTTGATTTGGTAATGCGATTATTTAAAAATTTGAATCCGCATTATTTCGATTATATTACACTATTACACATTTATTAAAAATATTCCTGTTTCAAACATGAATATTTTCATCTGTTTCTAATCAAAGCTAAATTAATACTTCAAACAGGCACACATGGACTATTTAGATTAATATTATTGTTCCTAGCGGACTATGCGTACACAAATCGCTTCTATACGGCTTCAATATTGGAAAAATGGGTATTTTTACATAAAAGTTGAAATAGTTTGATGAAATCAATTTTCCTCTTTCGTTGTTCGTTACAACATATTGTCAGCCTTTTAAATTGTTTGTGAATAGCAGCCTTCATTCGATAATGGCATTGTACTAAAACTTTAGTACTCGATACACGTAGATGAGTAGAAGCTGATTGCACGTTCAACTTTCAGAGTTCCGATGGTGGATCATAACTTCGTTAATAGTTGTTTTAAAAGTTACACGCTCTTAACGATGGCTCTATTTTTAAAACGAAACAAACAGGAATTCTTTTATTTGCTTAACATCGATTCTGCATTCGTCAGCAAATAACACCAAATAAAAGTGATTCAATCTTTTTACTAATCAATACAATAGTAATTCAATTTATTATGCCACAGCAGCACATGTTGCAAATAATCAGCAATAACATCAATTTATTGTTACGTTTGTCAGTAGCAATAAATTGATAGTTGTAATTTATTTTCAAAATGTTTATTACCAGAGCTTGAATAGAATTTTTAATTAACTATTTAAATTTTCAAATTATTACAAACAAATGCTTCGCTGTTTGAATCATCCACTTTGTGTAAAACATTCAGTTTGAATAACCTTTCTTTATGTTTATAATTCAGTGAACTATGCAAAATGAAACAATTTTCTGTCGTTATGAAAAGTTTAGAATTACAACTTGGAAAACACGATGATCTAATAAACTGATCCGAAATGTTTTGAATAAGCTAACAGAAATAAACATTTGTTAATAATGTTCAAAGGATGAAAGCAAAACTTTACTCAAGCGACTACCGCAAAAATATGATGCGCAAATGTGTGCAGAAAGTACAAAATATACTTTAGCATTTGCAACGCAAATTCAAATATATAGAGACAGTATCTATTATGTATAAATCTATCTAGGTTAACCATATCTCCTTTAATTAATTTAACAACAAATTCATTTATAGCAATCCGGTTTTGAATGAGTTCAACATTATGCTACAATTTAAAAACAAGTTTATTAAAATTCTGTCTAATAAAAAATTTGCTTCCCTCTCTATAAGCCTTATAAGCTTCTTATATTTGACAACTCTTCTATTATGGTCAGTTGTATGCTGTTGTTGCTACGTTTTATAGAAGTTTTATAGAACTGTAAAAACCTATTCTCTTATTTTTGTTACAAGAGATATTAAAGTTTGTTCAGTCCGCCAGACATGACGTTCTGAGTTTGTTTAATCCTCGCTTCAAGCCTTCTTAAGTTGAGTTTTGTACTTTTAAACCCATTTACGTTATCCGCTCAAACACCTGTCATCTTCAAATGTAAACTTTAAAAATGATAACTAAAAGAGATTTTATGGTATCACATTTCAGTTTATGTGTGAAAAAAATACAAATTAAATAACACCTTTGTTTGAGACAAAGCAAACGATAATTCATCTGCGGGAAAAACCTCGAAATAAAATAAAAATAATTCACGCGTCCTCTTTGCTCGCTGGAACCCATAACGTTAAAATTACTTTTTCATCACTTGGCGCTAATGTCGTCGGTGTTAACTGTCGTCGCGTGTAAACCGACTCTGAATTGGCTACATTTGTTACAGTTTGCTAACTGTAGCAAAAGCGGCAGCTGTAAAAATAAAAATAAATGCTAAACGTGTGTTTTTGTTTAATTCAATGAGTTTTTTTCCAATTTATAACACGCTTTCAAGTGCTTATCACCACCAACCGTACATTTTTAATTACAGGATTGCAAACGTTGCAGGATAGTGTAATATAAAGGGTTGCATTTAATCCTGACAGCTTAAAAAAGGGTTTACGTTAATTAAATTTACGTTCACAATCGATGGATGTTTATTCTTGCGTTCCCTACCCGAGGAAAATTTATTAGAAACACCAAACAGATGCGGTGATTTGTTTTTGAGGGAATTCGTCAATTTTAGATGAAATAAAACTCCTCAATCGCATCTAAAGCATTTAGAGATTATCTTGCCTTTGTTGGCAAACAGTGAGAAGTTCGATATCATCTTACAGCACAATGTGACAAGGAGCCTGAAAGTTATTGATATATATTTGGATGTGCACTTCAACGAGCACATTCGAGAAAAAGTCGTGTTATCTTTATTGGGCTTTTGCTACTGAGTGCGTCCTTGCAAAAGAATAAAAGAATCAAAACAATCTTTTGTAGTCAATCATTTTTCCGCAGAAAAAATCACAAAGTTAAATGAACAAAAACAAAATTAATGTCAGATTGTCTCTTGAAATACGAATCAGTTTTAATTAGAGAAAATGCAACATGCAACCAAGTTTCGGAAATTGCAAAAATGTGATTTTCACAAGCAATTAATTTGAAGCCTGATGGACTCCACATCTCTGCGCCGCCAAAACTTTTCAAGTATTTTAATTAAAAGTATATTTTTATTGTAGGACATTAAATTCACTAATAATGGCACCGTGCTAAAAAATCCAATTACTAAGCTAGCAAATTAGAAGTTTAAATAACGCAAAGAAAATATAGGAAAGAGGTAAAGATCAGTGTAAATAGCTCCAATTAATTAATTTCTAACTGGATGCGTTTATAACGGAGCAAAAACTGACATCATTAGAAATCTGGAAACAACCCTTCATGTTTGCAATAAATCTAAAATAATATGAAACTTCTCATTAAACTATGAACTTAAATAAAAGCGAGAATAAAAGGAAAACGGGAAAGAACTTTAGGAACATAATAGTTTTTTTCTGGTTTTACCTTCCATAATATTTCACGTAAAAATATTAAATTGCTTTAATTCTTTTTTACATAAGTGATAAATTATCAAAAACAATTCACAACAGTATGCAAAGATGTTTCATAACAATAGTTATAGTCTCATAGATACAAAAATAATAACATAAAGCAGTACAAAGTAGGCGCTTACAATAAAAGTTTTCGATTACCTTTTGTACTGATATTTACTCAACATTTAAGCTGGACTATACAGTAAAAAAAATTGCTTCCTAGAAGCATTGTCATAAACATTAAAGTTAACACATGGGACTGCATGTCAACATGAATATAGCTCTCTTCTAGGTTCTGAGGTCATTTACATAAAACCTTTTTCAAGGATAAAAATTACTATTAAAGCAATAATAGAAAAAATAAATTAGTTTTCAATTTAAAATAAATTAAATCCAAATAAGTATGCCACTGGTTGACATATTGATTTTATTCACAGTAATTTCCACAATTTCCTTTAACAAATTGCCTTCTACTACTGCAAGTATTTAAAATTTTTCAATGCACTTTTCCCGTTACAGTACGTACAGTTGCGGAATTAAAATTTCGGGCACTATTGTTATTTTCACTCTAAAACAACCTTTACATTAATAACCTCATTTCTTACTTTTGTCATGTTTATGTCATTTTGACTTAAAGAATAGCGTCACTGACAAAAAAGTTTAATTGTCAAATGTCAGTCATGATGACAGTAAAAGGTAGTTTACAGTAAACTTTTTGAAGTGACAGAAATTTTAATTTTGTAACTGTACGTAAAACTAAAGTGAAAAAATAAAATGATTTGTAAAAAGTGGAAAATTTAGGTTTTTAAAGTTGTATTATTGCAATAGCAAGTTTTAAATTACGAGTAGAAGTTGGTACCAAAAGAAATACTTACAAGAGAGAAAAAAAAATCAAGACAAGATAGCTACTTTTAACTAATGCATTCAAACCGACTTTGGACTTTTTCCCTCAACCAATAGTTCATTAGAAATATTTTTTAAAGAATAATAATAACTATTTTATTAAAATATTTTTATTTTATTTTATTTTATTTAAATATTTTTTAAAGAATAATAACTATTTTATTATAGAATATTACAGAATGTAGAATTTTAATGAATAAAACATTAAGTAGTAATCTTCAATTAATGAATTCCTACTAGCAAAATGTTGCAAAAATAATGTTCTTATCCAAAAAAAAAGCTCAATTAGCATTTATAAAAAGTTTAAAATTTGTATTCCCAGGAACAAAAGTTTATACATACTTTCACAATTAATAAAACTTGCCCCAAAACCGTTGTTTTAACTTTGTTAAGTTCAAGAATGTTCCATACAGGTAAAAAGAAATCCCAATTTAAAAAGAATGCATTTTTCAGTAGAAAATAAACATTGCAGTTGTCACAGTGTTTACACAAGTGAATACACAAAAGCAGAAGTCTACCGTCTGTCTTTTTTCTGTCTTTGTTAAGATCGACAAACCTCTTATCGATTGCAAAGTTTAGTCTCTTTGGTGCCATAGTGCTTACCCTTTGGCTAAATATTCTGTTCATTATGAAAATTTCCATACCTATAATGTAAAAAGTTTACTAATGGACCCCTACTTTCTCCCTCAACAAACATATTTATATAGGCCGAAATGTATTTTTAAGTTGTCTCAAGTTTCTTTTATAGGGCCTCTAAGTCAAATCCGGCATCGAGCTTCCGACTTTTATGATCGTTTAAGGGACAATAAAAAACTTATTGTTGCAGAACGAAGAGACCTGCAGAAATACTCGGACTGGCGCCAGCTGTGGTACCCCAATTTTGAAGACTTCAGCAGGGCAGAGGCGATGGCGGGGGCTGAAAACAACACCATTACCAACGTAACGGTACAACTGGGAGCCACGGCGTATCTCCATTGCCATGTGAGAAGTACAGGAGATAGGACACTCGCTGGAGCCGAGGTAATAACACTTAAAACGTAACTATATGATACATAACTACTCTCGCAGCAAATGGAACTCGATTAAAACCGCACTAAATTAAGACTTGCGATATAATTGAAAGAGCCGAAAGGCCGCAAAAAAAGCACAATGACAGCGCACCACCACTTTCAAACCTCAAAATCAAATTTATGGATTCGATACCACCGCTAACTCACACTTGTGTTTACCACTCTAGAGACCAATTTCCAATAAGTGGATTTGCTGCTCCAATATAAACAATTTGTCTAAATGCTAGCGAAGGGAGTAATCCTTTCCTAAAGAAATGTGGTAATGGTGATTCCACTTGTTTACCTTCTTCAACAAACCGAAATTAATCCCACATAAAATATTGAATTTTTGCTTTTGCTCTGCTAAATCTAGTCAAATTTAGGGCAATTCGTTTAATGGTAAGCCTGTTTCAGTAGAATTGCATACAAATTTAAAGTTTGAACGATGCAAAATAAATATATATAAACCTTAAAATCCTAAATCATATAAAAAACTACAGTCATCTATAAATTGCATTGACATTAGCCATAAAACAAACGGACAATTAACTAATTTAGAAAATATTTAACATTAGTTATTAGTATCGAAGAAAAACTCTCAGTTTTTTATCTCTTAACAATTAGTTAACAAGATTTTTAGGCAATATGAAACACCAATATTTCTAGTTCTTTAAAATCAAAAGTTGTATAAATATAAAAAAAAACACCTGAGTCACTGGCAAATTATATTTTAAAAAATGTTGCATTTCTCACTTTATAAACTGCCAGATGATCTACAAAACTACGTTGAGTTAAAAAAAAACAAATTTGTAAATACCAAATAAACAAAACACAAGAGTCTCTTTATAAACTTCGAGATGAATTCCACTAAATCGTTTTTTGAGAGAATAAATTTCTGCAAATATCGGACATTGCACCAAAATTCATGATGCCATTTGCATCATGAACATGAATAGGTACTCGCAGTAAATTTATTTAAAATTTAAATACCGAAATGAATTCAAAGTGGATTCCAGACGGTAATTAAAATTGGTTCTGCAAGTATGTAAATATAGAGCAACCAATACTTGATGAAATTAAGTACGAATAAATAAAAATCAGATTTTAAAAAATCTGAAGTTGTCATTTCTTCAATTATTGGTTGAAAAGAAATACAGCTATCTGTTAAATTTTGTCTTTATTTTCCCATAATATTATTTGAATGACTAGACTTAAGAATTGTCGCTGTGCTTGAGATTTCAAAAAAGCTCTCAAAAAAGAGTTAAAACATCTTCTCCGGTATTAAGCCTTCTTATTAGCCTCAAGCTAATAGATTTGTTATTGTTATACCCATTTACTGGCTCATATTTTTCATTAGAACCTTATAAATTTTATTTTAAATTAATAAAGAGGGTTATAAAATCTCAAGTAAAATTACGGGATACTAAAAGAGGTGCTCGTAAAGCAATGTTTTGTTACAAATTTTATACCAAGCATAAACTCGAAACTATTACACAAGAAATTAATGTTGCCATCAAAATAAAGAGGCTCTGGCTTCGATATATTAATTAATTTGACTGTGATGTAACGGGATTTACGATCAAAAACAAAGAAAAGATTAACCATCAGAAAATCTATTTCCGAAAGGACATTTATTATGTAACAAATTCCTCGCTCGGATTATTGCGAAAGAAATTGAATCCTCATAAAAAATAGTCTCAATATTCACGACGTAACACGCTATCATTTTCGCTTTATTAAAAAAATGCCAGCTAATATGAACATTTTTTTTCAGCAAGTGTCGTGGGTCAGGAGGAGAGATTGGCACATCCTTTCTTCAGGACTGTTTACCTACACAAACGACGAGAGATTTCAAATTCTGCACGCGGAAGGTTCAGACGATTGGACTCTTCAAATTAAGTTCGTCCAGAAGAGGGATAATGGAACATACGAATGCCAAGTAAGTTCATCAAGGATATAATTACGAACTCTGCACTACATTGGCCAGAAACTCCGCAAAAGGAACAGGATCTACAAACAAACTCAAAACTTACTTCGTTCGCCATCATTCTTGCTTCCTCTTATATCCACTTTTGTTGTCGATTTGTGGATTTTATTGCAACTTTACTAGGCACTCAGGGAGTCTCTGAAATGACGTAATTAGTCGAAACAAGAATTACACCGATGAGAAATCTAAATTTTTACTTTGTTACCCTTGACATTGTAGACAAATTGTAATTTATAACGGGATATTGGCGGTCATAATTTTCGGCAATAAAATTGTCACCAATAAAGCGCCGTTATTGAAATGAGATCCAATTTTGGAAAACTCCCCAATGCCGGAAGGCCATTGAAACATGACGATGTAAGGTAGATAATAGAGTATAACTAATGACATGATTGACCAGAATAATGCAAGGGAATGGAAACTTGGCATACATCATGATTATCAATAATTGGCAATTAGAGTTACTTAATCACGTATCTGCGACATAACATCACGAACAAGCCATTAATTGATATCAGGTTATATCACCATCAGAATTCCTGAAGTGCAGATGTTTCAATAATGAAGCAGCGCCTAGGAACGGAATAAATTGGTACACGTCGAAGACTATCGTAACTCAAAAAATGGCAGATGATCTAAATAAAAATCTTTTTTGATCTTGTTGATTACGATAAAGAAATTGAGTAACAGCCAGATTGGTATTTCTATAGCTATTTGTTAAAATTAAAATTAATTAATTAAATTATTAAAATTAGTGTAAAATTTTTTAATCTCAGTTGAATATAAAATGAGTTTCAATAGTCTTCGTTGCATGAAAAAGGAAGAGATAAATTTAAAACAATAGCTCTTAAATATTAAATGAAGGCGATGATGATAATAACATTGGTCATACATAAAACGGTATTCTTCCTTTCAAATTCATTTTCACGTGAAAATTTAATTTATGCCCGAAATAAATTTTGTAAAGCGTAATGTATAGTCGAAGGAATATAAATTTAGGCGCATTAAAAGGAAAATATCGCAATTCTTTTCGCGTCTGTAATTTAAAGCTTTTATTACGTCCTGCATAATTTGAGAAAAAGGGAGGCACAAAATACTTTATTAATGAGCATTTTATCGCTTCTATAACAAGGTGAATGCTTCTGAAACAAATACTTTTATTTTATTAGTTGTTTATTTTCCAAAAAAATTATTATAATATATCAAATAAACTGGCAAAAGCCAACAAAATTTGCTTCTTCGTGTCGTTTGTAAATATTATCTCCCATTATCATCAACCTATGTTTCAAATTTTTTGTTATAACACTTTTTTCCATTTTTGTTATGTCAGATAATATCCACACTAAAATTCACCATACAACAATGCTGTTATCAAAAGTTTGCCCAACTTCAGAAAAAACAAAAACTTCACTATTTCACATTGCCCTATAGACTAGAAAATGTTTCCAATTATTATATCTTTCGATCAAAAATCAATAGCCATAGAATGATTAAATCGAAATGATTAAATCATAAAATTGAACCGGAATAAATTTTTATTTCAATAGTATTAAAACGCCGATTTGTTCGTTAAAGTTTTATCCATTTATCATTTTAACAAAAAGTCACAATTTTCACTCGTTTACAACACATTTTTTTATTAAACGTAAAATTAGAATCCAAGGGAGAAAATGATAGAATATTATTTTTGTTAGACTTTTGCTCACATAAACTTATCCAATAAGTAACAAAACAGGTATTTATGCGACCAGTTGAGTAGGTAATGTTAGATGTGAAACATTTAGTTTTCATAAAATGAAATAACTAATTTAAAAAATAATAATTATGTGGCAAAATGAAAAAACTGACATTTTCTAACTAGTTACAAGCATAAATCCACCATAAGAGTGATATCGTTATGTTCAGTTTATGCTTTGCTACCATCACCTCTCCTACACTATACAAGCAGACCTACTGCCTAAATTAAATTTAAAAATTTTCTTAATTTTCGAATTTGTAACTACATCCAATTACAATGCAAGTTCCCCCCCTCATTCATTTTTGCCTGCTTGCACAAGCCCAAACAATTTCGTTAATGAATAACTAATAAATTTTGCTTTACAGTGGTATTCATATTGCTGTGTTTCTAGCAAAATCAAGTGATAGACCGTTATGGATAAATGTAATTACATCAAATTTATATCCACCTCGACCGCGCCGCCGAATCAATTTAATTCTAAACAAGTTGCGTTTGTATCCTGAAAGTCAAAAGTCCGTGAAAACACGTAGTCGATCCAAGTGGCGGTAAGACGTTGTCTTTCCGGTCTCGTCCCTTTTGCACGGGGTTTAGAGACCAATCAGACCCGACTTCGACACGTGAGTTGATTGTTGTCGAGAATTGCATTAAATTCTATTACCGAATACTGGACCTTTACAGCTGAAGGGTTAAACATAGCACAGTGTACTGAGGAAACACAAACGATGTGTAGTGGCATCGCTCGTCTCCAATTAATTCCCACAGAATTATTCATGATATTCATAAATTTCAAGACAACCTGCCAACTGGAAATAATTCACTTGATCATTATTCATTTGTTGTAGTTGCCCTAATTGTGTTTATGGTGCAGTGTGACGCTTTTTCAGGTCTCCACAAACGCAGGATTAATTTCGCATTTCGTCAACTTGCAAATTGTCGTGCCGGAGGCCACAATACAAGGTACAAGATCGGGAGAACATCACGTGGATGTTGGCAGTGTCATAGATTTGGTCTGCGTTATAGAAAAGGTGAGTGGTAACTAAACGATTTTTGAATTAATTATTATTTATGTTATCAGTCTCTAAATAAAAAAACAGAAATATCATCGTGTAAAAGCACGTTTTGCACGTTTTCCATTTAATAAAAAACCCCAAGTTTTTATCTTTATTTGACTGTAATCTGAACTAACAGCGGTCCTTAAATCTTTCATTACACATTTGCTGCGAGAATTTAAGACTGCGAACAATTGCACGTGGTGGTTTCCGGAGAAAAAGTATCTCCAATTACAAGAAAAATTTTTATGTTTTTTATTCTATTCCGTTGTGGTATAATCCCTGTAACGAGGCGAAATTCACATCTAATTTAGATATTCCCGAGAATTTCTCTATAAGATAAAAGGATGGAAATACACAAATAAGTTTGGGTTAGTACATCTATTCGAAGACTGCAAGGTGTGAACGTCGGTGATATTTTAAGCAATTGTAATGTCGATCCTTGTCGTCTCGGCAACGGCTGCACCACTACCTGGTACGTGTCTAGAATCCTTCATGCTGTAGCTGTGAAAACTCACCACTGGTTATATATTGAGAGAAGACTATATAGAAATAGACGTCGCACGTATTCTTAATACGCAATGTCCAGTTTCGTACATAGAAATTGTCAAATTTACTACAGCACATGTTAACTCTTCGATCTTCTAAATTGGATTTAAACTCCGACGTTTCCAAGACACTTACAAAACGTGCAGACGGTACTAGAGGAGGAAAATCAAAGTTTATACCAGCTCTTACTGGTTTATTTATGGCAAAGGAAATGTGAAACCGCAAGTTTAAAACAACCGATTGTTCTCAAAGCTTCTCAAAGCAAATTTAAATAATTACTGAAATGTGGTTATAAAAGATGGTTAACCATCTTTATAACTAAAAAAGGAATAAAACATAAAAAGGCATTCGTATACTCGTAGTCGCAAAAATCCTTCATGCTCAGAAGCATCTTTTCCGGATAGGTATATCGATATTACATATTTAAAGGTATCTACCTACTTAATTTAGTTTTTTCAAATCACACATAAAACTATTCGTTTAATAAAACTAGATAATTAAACACAAAAAATAAACTTACATACCTATAGTGCAAATTAAAATAATATTGATGGAATATCAGATTTCAGTGTCTTTTTTGTTCATTCTCTAGTACAAATTCTGTAACCGTAACTGTGTAGGTATAAACGTACTAAATTTTGTCAAAATAAGTTTAAAAAATATAAAAAATTGATAAAATAAAGCAGACTTTTTCGAATTTATTTCTGTTGGTCTCTAATCTCCAAAAATTCTAACAATAATGAAAAAAGATGAAACGAAAAATCTATAAGTTCCGCATGTTAAAATGTTCTACGATGAGAATTAACTGATGTTTCGATGATTATTTAACCGATTTTCAATTATTTTTTTCTGAGCAAGATTCGGACTCGACATAAGATAATTTTAGGTAATCCAAATCCTATTCTGTTGAGAAAAACAAATTTATTGGTTGCAAAAAAGACTAAGTGAAAAAATTGCTTTTCAAGTAGTTTAATTTTGTAAAAAAATTAGCGGTTTTTTCAAAGTCTTTAAAAGTCTTTGGTGCTCTTTAATCAGTCCATAACCCTCCAAGTTTTTCTTTTTTTTTTGTTTCATAGCTCAATGTTACAACTTAAAAAATTAGTTATTTGTATATGCTCCCGAAAATAGATGTTTTAAAAACTCATTTGAGTCCGTAAAATGAGTCTTTTCCAGACTCAATAAAATAGTACCTACGTAAAATGGTAACTTTAGGTACTCAGTTAATTTGGTTACTATGTTAGCGAAATTTTAGTAATTTATAGATAATAGGTGTGAATTCGTTTTTTGGAAGCTTTAACAAAAAATGTTTTGTAACACGTATGTACCTAAAACGTTTTTGCAGACCCATCTGCTATTCCAGGCTCGGCTACGCCTCGTCCGAAAACCGCAAGAATTCATCCGTAAAAACTGTATTTTAAATACCTGTAACAAAAATAACTAATTACTTTTGTGTCGAAAAATAAATAATAAATTAATAAAAAAATAATTTATGCGCGATGGTAAGTACATAATTAAATTCAGAAATACTATTTTAAATCGAGGTGAGCACATAACAACACTAACTTTAGGAATTAAACACTTGCAGCGTTTATGCTTAAAATAATCTACATTACAGATGCACTTTACGAACAATCCTTTGAATACAAATCAAACTTAGTAACTATGTTATAGATCAGTACTGTAATATATCGTGTATGCGCAATGTTCTAACATGAATGTAATTGATTCCAATAACATTATCCTCGCAAAGAGTCCATTATTTGAATAACTAGTAGTAAATCTACAAATGTTCTTAAAATATTAGTAAAGATTATGGTCCGAGTACTAAGAAACTTTTCCGATTCCGCCCCCATCATTTGTCATTTTGCACTCTGCAAGTAAAAATGCAGATTTTAACCAACTCTGGCCAAGCTACCGTTCAAGATCATCAAACTCCAGTTAAGAAATCCTTGAAAGAACTTCCTCAAAGTAGTTAGTGTGGTGGAACAAGTGTACGCGGCCCCACTTGATTTATTATCTTTCCTTAATTCGGCCACAAATGCCGGATTCTCTGGCTTTTGACCCGCTAACTTAGCACGTTAATGTCCATAGTCGCATGTGAGTCCATTTATAAACATCTGCGCGTCTTAATGACCCCAATAAAAGCAAAACTCTTATCAAAAACAAACGTTCCAGAGCCCTACTCCCCCTCAATACGTCTTCTGGTACCACAATGAACACATGATCAATTACGACACGGCTAGGGGTGGGATATCGGTGGAGACGGTGCCGGGGATCCGCACACAAAGCCGCCTCACCATAAGGGACACAAACGACGCCGATTCAGGAAATTACACTTGCTCGGCTTCAAACACCGAGCCTGCTTCCATCTATGTCTTCGTATCCGAAGGTAGGTGTGCAAATAATGGGGGTGATTTTTCAGGGGGTGGTTTCATGTTACAGGTGACAATGTGGATGCAATTTTAATGAGGAAATCGTGCGCTATGTGCGTCGCCAGCCAACTAGTTCTCCTCCTCGTAGCTTCGGTCGCGGCCGCAATGCGATAGAAGCAGAAAGGATGAAGTTACGGACACTTCGGTGACAAGTGATAGTGCATAAGTGATAAACAGGCGACCACTAAAGACCACGTTTTGAAGATTTTTCTTTAGATTTAATTAATATTAATGATAATTGACGTAAATGTAAAACTGTAAAAAGGTATCAGTATTTGAAAATGTTATAGTAAGAGAGATCGAAACCTTGACTAGTGTCCCATAAATATTCGAACGATTTTGGAATATTTGTGATGTGATTCTATCGTCTACTGGTGACGCAAAATAAATTCATTCAAATATTTTCAATTTAAATTTAGTGTCTATGAAATTTTCATATTCCATAATGTGTACAAACACATGCAATTAATCTCTTGCACTTATTCAATCTGTACATACTCAGTTATTTCGTTGTTAAATATTGTAATATATAAAATTATTTACTGTCGTTGTTACTTGAGCCAAAACCTCCGAATTAACCAAATTCCATTTCTATTAAATATTTTGCAATAGCAAAACTGCCAAATCATTTCGATTTATATGAGCTTGTAACTAGCGCTTCGTCGGTGGTAAAAGTAAGAAATGTATCCAAGCTGCATAAATTTCTCACTTTTACTCGAACTTACTTTCATATCCTTTTGTTTATTTATACTCAACGTTGTAAATATTTATCTCATCATAATTGTAAGATAATATAAAAAAAATATTAGCTCATAGTTCATTTGTTATATTATTTCTTGGATGAATGTCAGACTAATTCCAATTAAAATCAAAACCGTAATTAACCGTTATGTTAAATCCATTACCACCTACATGTTAGAACATTTTTCGCGTTACTCACTTCAGTTTTGTATCGCAATCACCCTGTTACTGTCATGATAATATACAACATGCCATGTAATATTAAGTAAATTTACCACATGTATTCGTTATAGTACGTTATTCTTTTATTTTCTGAACACAAATAAATCAATTGAACACATTATGCGTAAAAATGCGTCATTATTCACATAACCGCAAAAACACAGGAGTACAAAAAAAAACACTTTTAAACGCAAACAATTTATTTCATACAAAAAATACATTATAAATCAACCGGCGGGAACCTCCTGCTGTTGATATGTCAGGGACCAGTAATATCCCCGTTTGCGTGTCAACTCCTCATGAGTCCCCATCTAATAACAATTAGTAACAGTTGACTAAGCAAAGGCACAACTTACCTCAACTATAGCTCCTTTGTTCAAGACAACAATAATGTCAGCGTTTTGAATTGTCGAAAGTCGGTGGGCGATCACCACAACTGTCCTTCCTTTTTTAGCATTTTCCAATGCGTTTTGTACCACTTTTTCTGATTCAGTGTCCAAAGCACTACGTCACAAAATGTATGCCATTAGAGAAATTTTAAAGTTATGAGAAAATACCTTGTAGCTTCATCTAATAGTAATACTGTCGGATTTTTAAGCAAAGCTCTAGCAATAGCAATTCTTTGTTTTTGGCCACCGGATAATGTTACACCTCTTTCACCCACCATAGTATCGTAACCTTGAGGAAAATTAGAAATAAAGTCATGAGCATTTGCTAATTTTGCCGCTTCTTTGACTTCTTCATCTGAAGCACCAGGGCGACCATATCTGATATTTTCAACAATGGAAGTGCCAAATAAAATTGGTTCTTGACTTATTAGCCCCAAAACCCGTTGTCTCAGCCATGATGGATCGAGGGTTTTAATGTCATGGCCGTCTAAAGTGATCGCACCACAATTTACATCGTAAAAACTAAAAATTTTATAGTGAAATAACACACTTTCTATTGTGTAAATTTACCGTTCTATAAGCGCAACGACTGTTGATTTACCGTTGCCTGAAGCACCTACTATGGCCAGAGTTTTACCGGAAGGTATTTTTAAATTAAAATTCTTTAAAACATACTGTAAGAAGAAAAGTTTTCATTAAATCAAAAAAAAAAAGTTATAATAACCTGTTGTTGTCTTGTTGGGTAAGCAAATGTGACGTTATTAAACTCAATGTCTCCCTTCAGATTATTTTCTGAAATAATTTTTCCTCCTCTTAAAGCCATAGTTGGTTGTAAATTCATGTACTACGTATTCAGGAAATTATTATTTAAGCTAAAATAAAATCACTTAAACAAACCTCAAAAATACGGGAACCTGCTGCAACCCCCCTAACCACAGACCCAAAAAGCATAGAAAGTTGCCCCAATGATCTTTGAATAGTTTGAGAAGCCATTAAATACGCCATCAATTCTCCAGGAGACAACTTATCAGTTGAAAGCAAATAGCCTCCCATGTAAAGCGTAATTAAAACCATCCCATTTAAAAATAAATTGGTACCCGCTTGGAACCAGCCGATACCAAAACCCAAATTTTCGTTTAAAATCATAGCTAATACAGCCTCAGCATCAAATAATTCTTTCTCTTGATCTTCCATCCCAAAGGCTCTGACAGTCCTTATGTTACTAACTGCTTCATCCGCAACCGCAGTCGTTTTTTCAATCTGAACTTTTTTTTTTAAACAAGAACAAAAAGTATGTTGTACTCTACCTGAGCTTGCGCCTTCCTGGACGTGCTCCTTAGCAAACCCCCAAATATTGTCCCAACAGCAACCACTGTAGGAACGCAAAGCAAAGTAATAAAAGTCATGTGAGGAGAAATCATAACTAAAGACACTGAACATCCCACAATTTGGGCAATTGCCCTCAAACCGCCTGACACCGTTTGTTTAAAACTACTTTTAAAATCCTGAATATCTGAAGTAAGCCTAAAACATTATTTTCTAAAAAGTTTTCATAATTGCAAGTCACCTTTACACTTAAATACCTGTTAATTACTTCCCCAGTTCTTTGTTGGTCAAAAAATGCAATATCTTGTCGCATTATTGCAGCAAATAAATCTGTTTTCATTTGGAACGAAATTTTTTCACCCAAATTAGATAACATGTAAATATAAAAAAATGTACAAAGTGACTACAATGCAATACAGATATAAAAATTAAACTAAAAAAAATAAAAATACTAACTTGACCAACATACATTGCAATAAGTTTAATAGCAGGCACTTTCATTTCATTTATAAATGATTCACTATTTTTGTTATCTGTATATTGAGCTATTACATTAATGACCCCTCCCATCACTTGTGGTATTTGTATATTTAAGATCGCGACAACCAAAGCTCCCTATAACAAAAATCAACTGACTCAAACCCTATCAAATCTAAAGTAAAACTAACAGCAATTGCCGCAATAAGATACCAGATGTGGGGTTTTAAATAATACCAAAATTTACTCCAATCAAATTTCTGCTGTTTGTCAGAGGATGTTCTGTATGTAGTCATTCTAGTGGTTTTAGCTGTACATAAAACCTTGTTGTTTACTAAGGCAACTTGTAAAATACCTCCAGATGATAGTGCAAGTGCAATCTTTGAACACCTTGAAAAATTGAATTTTGGTTTTTTATCTGATTTTTCAACAAACGCTCTGGAAACCCCTTTAAAAAAAGTCTTACAACTTTCATGATTCCTGTAATAGAAAACACAGTTCTTGCTTAATACACAATTCCTGCAAAAATTAAACTTATATAATTATAACCCCAAAATTCTAATCAATTAACCTTAAACTTGAAGACAGTTTAAAAGAGTTTTGCAATAAATTCCACATCCTGCTATTAGTGTTTCACATCTTATTTATTCAAAAATTGATTTACAATGATGATTCACTCATTACAAAAATATATTTACTGAAAACTCAAAGTAGCTTACTTGTAACTTGAGATTATACCTTAATCTACTCAAGTGATTAAATAAGAACTACAAAACTTGCAAAATACAGAGTGTGACACAAGTGCATCTATTGCAAAAGGTTGACTATCTTTGCTTATTGCAGATTATTGTATTTGCAGTTTATAAATGCAAAATAGTTAATAAAAGAATGAAATATTAAGATTTATAGTATAATTGAACTACTAAACACAAATTTGTTTGAACTACGTACGATACTCTGTTCGAAAAAATGAATATCATAGTCGCGCGGTAAATTCAAATCATAAAAAAGTTAAGTTTTTAAGATAAAAATAACATTAGACTACGTCAAATAAACTTCAATCAAATTTTAATTTACTTGTAAATTAAGATGGGCGATCAAGAACAGGAAGCACCATCAGAAAAAAGCGAGGCTCCAGGTGGTGAAGAAACTGCCAATCCTGAAAATGAACTAACCCCCGAACCAGCTCAAACAACCAAAGAACCAAAACCAGGAGCACCAGCCGAGGAAGCTAAACCTGAAGAAGACAAAGAAGAGGCACGTCCGTCAGAAGCCTCTGCTGTTCCTCCTGAAGAAGGAACCGCAGAAAAACGCCCATCTCAACCAGATACTGATACTAAACCAAAAGAATCTGAAACTGCTGAAACTAAAGAACATGCGGAAGCGGTAGATAAAGTAGCATCAAAGGAAAAAGAACCAAAACCTGAAGAACGTAAATCAACAGCAAGCAAGATCGGAGAAGATGAAGAAGTTAAAGAACAAAAATCGCCATCGCTGGTTGAAAGTATTTTAAATAAATCTGACTTTTTATGATTTCCAGTCTAATTTTTTCCAGAAACTCAATCTGTTCACAGTAGAGCAAGTAAGGTGAGCAAAACAAGTCGGACAAGTCAAGAGTTACATGAAATCAAATCGGAAGAAATTGTAAAAACCAGCGCTTTAGTTTCTTCAGAAAGCTTCGAAAAGTATATACCTAACTAACAATTATGTTTTGTAGTTTTACAACTTTACTTTTTGTAGACGCCGTGGCTTAACAAAAGAAGATGGAAAGGTTTAGGGCTAAAAAAAACCCAAAATATGATTTTAAAACTTGTACACTTTTCAGGAAGGTCGAAAAAGTCGCACAGAACGTCTTAGCAGTCGAGCACAAAAAGTACTTGGAAGCACAATATCAATTCGACGCCTGAGTGTAATTGGAGACTTTTATGACCGCTCTAAGGTAAAAATTAGTTTCAATTACTCATCGACTGCCTAGTACCAGGACTCGCTGGCACCGCTATCGATTATAGATAAAACAGTTTATAGCAGTCCCAAACTTGTCTAACTTAAACTTCGTCAACATCATTACTTAGAATTTACCCCAGTTTATATTTGCATAATAATCTCGTCTAGTTGCCGTTTGGGGATTAGAATATTATTATAGCATGAGTGCCACACCAGTCTTTACCGAGGTAAAGTACGAATTTGACTACTTATACTATTTTACTTCTACTGTTCTAGGGCGCTCGTTATATGAACACTTACAAACTGGAATCGGATAATCCGTTTAAACCAGAAAAAGTTACAAAAATATTAGAAGCAGTGATGACAGAAGCCTTGGAAAATCTAACTTATGACCCAGAGAAATGCCCGAAACAAGCCAAATGGGCTTCGAGTGCAATCAGGGCTAAAGTTAAAGAACTTCAGTTTGAAAGGTTAACCCCATTAAAATTGTTTTTTCTATGATTCGGTTATTTAATTTCAGATATAAGTTAATTTGTTTGGTTACAATCGGAGAAAAAAATTCGCAAGATGTTTTTGTCACTTGCAGATTTCTTTGGGATGTAGATCGAGACAGATATGCAACTTATTCGCTTGAAAATACATTTGTTTTTGGGATAGCACAGTGTTTCGGAGTGTATTATGAATGAAAATTATTTAAATTTCGTTCCGTGAAATCAATAAAATGACAAAATCAATTTTCGTATTTTATTCATTTATTCTAATGCTCTTTTTCCAAACAAAATGCGATGTGAGGAAATGTCAAACCTACATGTCATCACATCCACAAGCTAAATCGTTTTTTTTCTTCTAATTATTGAAAACATAAGAAAATCATGACCGAAAATAATACTAACGAAAATCCTATAGAAGAAACTCAGAAAGAAAAAAAGCACTTTACGATTAAAGAAACCGATGAAGAAATTTTAGAACAAAAGTCTTCTAAGGAAGCAAACATTAAACCTTTCAAAGAAATTACCATCTCGGGTTCTTCTCTCTCCTCAGGTTTACCAACTTTTTCTAAAATCGTAGACGAAATCAATGTCTCAAAAAAGAGTAAATCGCCGCAGCACGAAGCTAGATTTAGAGACGATTCTTTAGAGGTGCCCAAAAAAGAATTAAAGTATGTTGACGACACTGATGAGAAATCAGTCGAAGAAGAACAATCCTTATTGTCTTTTCATGACGAGCAAGAGAAAAAACTGCGTTTTGGGGCGAGAAAAGACTCTCACACGAAGGGCATGCGGTTTGAATACGGCCGATGTCCGAAAACTTGTGAACGCTTTTTGGGAATTGTCGAGTTTTCAAAAATTTTTGTCGACGAAATTATCGAAGATGCTTTACGTTAGAGTTAACCGATTGCTTTACGCTTTTTGTCAATTTCGGTTTTTACAGTTAAGGGGAAAGGATTTAAACAACAGTCCTCTATTAGAATCATTGAAGGTTTTGAATATAATGAAGGTATTGAAGAGTCTTTGTCACTGGCAAGTATCGGGACGTATGTTTGTGTACTTGAATGGCCAACAATTGACGAGTTTACGCAGGAAATTGGTACTGCGAAAATTAGCGAGTATTTGTCCTACTGGAGATTTGAAGAAGATTGGAAGTATTGCATCAATTTTTTAGTGGGTAAAAGCGATTCTGCTTGTGATTTTTACCAATACGAGGTGAAAAATAAAAAAAATCTGCTTTTAAAATAAGTTGTCTATGATTACAGGCAATTTTTAGCATTCCCTGCAAGCAATATCCCATCCCACAAGCAACAGCAAGTGTGTTTTTTGTATTTGAAGTATCCAGGATAAAGCCTAGACATTGTCTCGTCGATGTAAAATCTTACTTTTATTGAAAAACACATTTAAATTTTTTTTAAGGTACACTATTGGTTTGAAGGGCAACGCACTATTCACACACCTGGTAAATTCACATTTCAAGAAGAAAAACTATTTAACATAGTTGATGCTAAAATTAACTTCTACAAAACCTTAAGATTCTGATTGTAACTAAATCTAAATCAATAAAACCATTTGGGACTTCGTTAATTAAAACATGTAGATTTCAATTAAATCTTTAATTTCATAATTTTATATCCGAAATCTAAACATAAACAAGAAATTTTCGCCAAAACAAAAATGATTTTTAACATATATTAAACTCAACATTTATCACAAAATTCTTTTATCGACATTTATGTCACATTACAGTTTTTTCTTGTAACACTCGTCATGCAACAACTGAATTACTATAAAACAAAAAATAAATATTTCAGAAGATTAACAACACCCATTAATCAGTAGTTCACATTGTACAATTATCTTATTTCTAAAATTGTTCAATAAATAATATCAAAAAATATAAATTGTGTTCGATACAATAAATAAATTTATCTACAATTTGTTGATGAATATAAAAACTTTTGGTATATCAAACGCTAAAAACTGAAACTATAATAAATAATATGACCTAATTTTTTTATCTATTAGTCTTTGCTTTGGTTTTCTGTTTCACTTTCGGAATTTTCCGATTCTTCGTTGTACTGGGACGGCATTAAAGCTAAGTATTTACTTTTTCCTAAGTTATCGGCATGTGCACACGCATCCATCACTATCTGATTGAAGGCTTCGGGTTTATCAGCGTAGACGTGATGACCTGCTCCTGTGATAACCTGCAATCGTAAAATAAAATTGTTACACCTACATATTTTTATCAAAAAAACATTTACACATGAAAATTCTACTTACTTGTAATTTGAAATAAGAATCAATTCGTTTGAATTTTATTATTTCGGCAGCTGAATGATCGATCCATGACCTGGATCCGTACAACAACGTTATGGGAATATCTTTTCGCATCTTGTCGATGCGGTTCACCATCGGATTTTTCGCCCACCCAAATCCCGACATCATAGAGTGAAAAGCGCTCTCACCACTAGACAATACAAAAGTCAAAAAAATCATAATTTAAGTTTTTAGGTCCCACCTAGGAGTCTGAGAATTACACTGATAAATATATTGCGGAATAAGTTCCTGTTGTTCAAGAGCAGCAGCGTATTTCTTAGTTATATCAGGTCTCAAAGTATTAATAAACCAAGGTCCTAAAGGTCCCGCGACCCTAATCCCAGCCAATGGATTAAAAGGTTGCAACATGTAGGACAAAGTCCTTATCCATAAAGGTAACTCTTTGAATTCTTGCGGCCTCTCGGGAAAACCCCACGGATCAGCCAAAACCAAATGCTTGACATGGTCTGGATAACTAAGGGCGTAAGAAGCTGCAAGAAATCCACCCATACTATGTCCCAACAACACAAAGTTGTCCAATTTCATTTCCTTCCGCCATTCTTCGATCGATTTTACCATTTGTTGTTCGGCTTCCGTTGCGTCGGTACTGAAGGTGGGCCGCGATGACCGACCGAAACCTGTCCCCGTTAAATAGTCAATATTTCACAATCCTTATATTTATTCTAATACAAGTACCTAATAAATCAAAGGCATATACAGGTCGGTTTGCTGCGAATGCGTCTAAATTTAAACACCACAGTGCTACTCCTGCACCCAAGCCATGAAGGAGGACTAGAGGTGTGTTTGGAGACTCCGTGTTCAATGAAATCGTCCAGATTTTGTCCGCAGGACCCACCACCGGGCCTATGTCTACGTACCATCCTCGGTATGCTGTTTTTACGACTAAAATATAATTGATTCATTATTTATGTTGACAAACTAACAATGAATTTGTGGTCTGTGGCGTCTATGCGTTTTAAAAACTACTGCGTAATTTAATATTTTTTCATTGTTACTTTTACGTTAAAAACAATACCCAGATAAAGTTATTGTCTTGAATGAACATCTAAAATACACAAATTAAAATCGATAAGACACGTTTTATGGTTTGATAAAAAAATAAAACATTCAGTTGGCATAAAAAAGGAATTATCTCTAATTTAAAAATAGTTATTTTTTGTATACGCTCCCGAAAACAGCTGTTTTAGGCACTCTCTTAATGAGTCTTTTCCGGACTCAATAAAATAGTACGTAAATAGCTATTTACGTATCAAGTACGCAAAATAGGGTTTTAGGGGACGAATCGTAATTAATGACGAGGCGACGTAGGAGCCGAGTCTTTACCTAATGAGAGGAGTCACCTAAAACCCTTTGCGTACGTGGTGCATACAAGATTTTTTTGTTAACGCTCACAAAACACGAATTCACACCTCTTACTCATTAAAAAAAATTCGTTACCATAGTAACTAATTTTATTTTTTAGTCCGCAAAAACTGTTTTTGGGGACTGAGTACCTAAAATACCCGTTTTGCGTACTATTTTATTGAGTCCGGAAAAGACTCATTTTAGGGACTCAAATGAGTCCCTAAAGCAGCTGTTTTTGAGAGCGTATACAAAAAATGGTTATTTTAGGTACTCAGTACCCAAAAACAGTTTTTCCCGACTAAAAAATAAATTTGGTTACTATGGTGGCGAAATTTTTTTAACTAATAAGAGGTGTGAATTCGTGTTCTATGAGCTTTCATCCTATGCAGTTAGTGCAAGAACTACAAGATGCTGACTTCCCTCGTAGATTAGATTTTTGTTATTTTGTTTGGGAACAATTTGAAAATAATCCAAACTTTATTAATAACGTTGTGTTTAGTGATGTTTGATTTTATGTTTTGTGAATAGAATTGTGGCTTGTGAGCAGAGTGCGGGTGGCCACATAGAGCATCGGCTTTTGATGTACCTATTCCTTTTCTTTAAAATAAAATTGCGTTTATTCGAAAAATTGCTATTGATTGAAATGTATTGTTAGATGTGCGTGTGACAGTGGCACTTCCGATATTTTTCGAACAGCAAATTTTCAAAATTCTAACATGAATCAAGGAATATTTGCTTTGTGTATTATGGCTTGTCTGCCAAGAGGGGTCAAGTGGGTCATTTAAGCTGAATCACCCTGTATTCGCGCATTCGCTCGTGCCTCAAATAATGCGTCCATAAGCGAAAAATGACTTCTAGCACTTGGTTTGTAAATAACTATTAAAACATTACTACCTATTAACAGTTTAAACAGTCATTATAGAAAAAAGGCGATTTGATGCGAAATTTCAGGGACATGCTGTGTATAACAATATAAACAATTATAAACAGTTCAGCAGTTCATAAATTATAATTATCCTCTGAATTAACATTAAACTTGGGTAAAATTTGAATTACAAATTAATTTTCTTAAGTCGACATACTTAAGTTTTTTAAATTATTTTAGCGGTAAATGCTAACAATCACTGCATTTTCTACCATAAAAAAATTCTCATTAAAATTAATTTTCTTTCACTTTTTATCACTCAATTAGGGTAAAAATCAGGTATTAGCTATTTATGTATCAAGTACGCAATAGGGTTTTAGGGGACGAATCGTAATTAATGACAAGGCGACGTAGGAGCCTAGAACAATTTTTTTTGTTAAAGCTCCAAAACACGAATTCACACCTCTTATTAATAAAAAAAATTTCGCTACCATAGTTAGCAATTTAATTTTTTAGTCCGCAAAAACTGTTTTTGGGGACTGCGTACCTAAAATAACTATTTTGCGTACTATTTTATTGAGTCCGTAAAAGATTCATTTTGGGGACTCAAATGAGTCCGCATAATAACTATTTTTGGTAGTGTACACAAAAAAAAATATTTAATACACCATAGTCTATACGCAAAAACCTCTTATTCTATGGCAAAAACAAACAAAATAGGTACCATAAAAATCGTATGTAACTTACTTTGCAAAATCTTTTTCTCCAGAGTCCTTAACATTCCCTCTGAATACTTATTCCATGTTAACCAATCGGGGCTAAACCAGCTGTGATTAAAGAAAACCATAAATTAATGAGTTTATAAAAATTGATAAATTTCGAAAAAACACAAAAGTTAGGTTATGTTACGTAACTCGGAAGTGCTCACCCGAAGATATAAATAAATGTTTTGTAATAGAAATTGGACAAAGCAGCTAAAATCGCGAAAAGTGTGGGCAATACAAACTTAAAAACGACTTCCTTCATATCAAACGTATAATTTTGAATATGTCACTTTTTCACTTGACATTAATCTGAGTCGCAAAAGTACCGTAAAGTTTATCTGTGCATATGTAAACAAAGAAAAAAAGTTACCTTGAAGTCTGATTTGCCTTTGCTATTTGGGAATCGGCATTTTTCTCAACGAGGGACATAATTACAAATTTTTACAAACAGGGCACGGTCTTAACCTCACTAACACTTAAATTGATATGAACATAAATCTCTTATTGTTTTAGATAAATAACGGCTCGTTCGTTAGTCATACTCGGAATTTGGACCTCACAATTCACATTGTTCATTTGATTAAGAACATTAAAAAACAGAGACGTATTAAGTAAGGCTGAACTTATTTGATGATTTTTCCACCCACTCATAGCATCAGCCAAAGCTGAATATTAAAACGTCATTATTTATAAACATGAACGAGATAAGACACAACCTTGACTTGCATTTTAAAAAATAACAAATTTCCTCGTATTTTGTGAGCAAAACACGTGCTTATCAGTGTACGATTCAAGAACCGATTGTTTAGAGGTGTAGAAAATTAAGTCAAGGTTAATTTGCCCAAATTGGCAAATGTCAACTGAATCTAACACACATTTCTCAGTAAATAAAGTAAAGTTAAACTGAAACCTAGTCAGTGCTAAAGTTGCCAGTAATAAACTTTAAACCTTGACAAATTCGTGGACCCCTACGTAATAAAAAGAGGAAATGCGTGACAACTTAGTTAAAAAAACAGATTGTTTTAAATTTGTGAACGTGTAATACATAGTTGGTTGAATACTGAAGAATGTCATATTTTCATTTTTTATTAACATTTATTAAAATAGAATTATGATTCAACATTAGATAAACTCTGTACCTAACCCAAGCTTCTTTCATGCAGGCAAAAAATGCTATACTTTATTAAACTTTGATCTCCAATTATTGCTTGTGTTTTATTATAACGATAAGCAATGTCAAGGTGCATCAGTTTGCTAAATATTTATCTTTGGGGATCAGATGATTCAAAAAGATAAATTATACTCTTGAAAAATCGACTAATCAGGATTTTTTACAGTTTTTATAAAACTTCGACAAAAATATGAAATGAACAACATTTTATAAACCATCAGTAATAATTTATTGCTCTTGATTCATCAGTTTGTTACATCTATATTAGTATATAATACTGTGAATTTGTGGTTCTTAAATATAGTAGTCTACTCTTTAAAAACTTATACTAAGGCTTTATTCATTAATGATTGAAATACTATGATGTGGCAATCTGTGTTTCTGTTATAATTTCTTCCTCCTCTTGTATATTGTCATTTTCAGGTACTACTAGTGCGTTTGACTTATTAGTCTCGGTAAAGTTGCAAACATCAACTACAATCTCATTAAAACATTCAGGATTGTCTGCATGTACATGATGTCCAGCATCCTTAATAACTTCTAATCTAACATAAGAATTTTGCCTCATCTCTTTTAGTTTTTTTCCTACTGTTTTATCCATCCAAGTGTGGGACCCATTCATTACTGTAATTGGTACTCTACTGTCTAGTTTATGTATCCTATTCAGCATCGGGTTTTTAGCCCATCCAAAACCTTTGATCATCTTATGGAAGGCTGTCTCTCCCCTAAAAATGGCCAACTTACAACTAGTTACATTGCTTTTGGTAAATAATTACGTGGGTTTTTGTGAGTTACACTGATAAATGTAATCAGTTATAATCTCATGGTTTTCTAAACGACCAGCATATTTGTGCGAAATGTCCGACCGCATCTTTTTTACAATCCAAGGACCTATCAAAACCAACAATTATCTCAAGCAAAACTATACTTTCATGTGAATACATACCAAAAGGCCCCGCTGCTCTAAGAGTCGCTAAAGGATTAAAGGCGGTAAATGGGTACAAAACAATTCCTAAAGTTTTCATCCAAAGCGGCGGGTTAAAATCCGATGGTCTCTCAACAAATCCCCACGGATCAGCTAAGATCAAATGTTTCACTTGATTGGGATACGAAATTGTGTAACTGGTAGCTAAATAACCGCCCAGGCTATGCCCTAGTAAAATAAATTGATCTAATTTGACTTCTTTCCGCCATTTTTCAATGGAGTCGATAAATTCTTGTTCAGCTTCTAGGCCGTCGTTGCTGAATTCTGGTCTTGAGGATCGCCCAAAACCTGCACATGTATTATTTATTACCAATATTCAAAAACTTAGGGATGTTTACCCAAAATGTCAATGGCATAAACAGGTCGGTTGGCCGCCAAAGAATCCAAATTCAAACACCAGAACCCAACGCCAGCCCCAAAACCGTGGAGGAGGACCAGAGGAATGTTTTTTGATTCCGTGTTCATGGCAATTGTCCATATTTTTGCTTTAATGTTTGGTTTATGGTCAATTAGAACATGCCAACCTTTATATGCAGTATTCAAAACTAAAAAAGGAATTTCATGACTGGCAAAATTTGAAACTTTTTACCTTCAAAGATTTTCTTTTCGAGGGAGATAAGCTTGCTTTCAGAAAATTTAATCCAGCCACATTTTTCTTGATTTTCGGTGATTGTTGACATTGCACTAGAATTTTGATTTTTGATTTTTCTTGATATAACCTAACTTTTCCTACTGTTACTATTCAAAATGCTTCATTGATCTGAGCTGTTTTTAGATTAAATATAATACAGTGTGATTTGGTTGTTGCAGATAACGACATAATAATAGTGATTCAGCAGAATTTCTCCCATTAAACGCTGAAATCATCCAACCAAACCTTTTATTATTTTTGTCGCTTCAAATTTTAAGGGCAATACAGGCAATATTAAGAAGATTTTTTTTGGCTTAAACTTATTTTAATTGCTACTATGCTAGGCCCACATTTCAACAAACATAACGACCGTACCTATTTCCAAAAACAAAATTCTTATTGTGCATACCTATCCCTATTCAATAAAAAAAAGAATATAATTTATTCAAAGTACTTATTTTTCCACGTTGTTTATTACTTCAAATACCATCCGTTAGAAAAAAATAAGCAATCATTCTCAAAACTATAACCTTTGATGACCTCACGCAGCCGTAGTTGTATAATATATATAGACTGTTCTAAAATGACATGTAGAGGTACACTTTCAAGTTCAATCAAAAAGTTTACTTTAATTTATTATTTTTTTTATTAATTTCTTTTTTTACGTTACTTTTAATGTATACCTACTTCATAAAAGAAATAAATATAGAAATCTTTTATTGTTCAGTGGTGATTCTCACCATGTGTTGTTTGATCGATATTATGTACCTCTACTTATGTATCTACATTTTTAATTAGTTGCACCCGATGTAGTGGGTAAATGCACCAAGATTAACAAATAAAAAATTTGAATACAATTATAGTGAGATAATCTAGATTAAACCTAATGGAAAAACATCTGACTGAAGTGGATTGTTTAGGAACGAGGTATTTTTGCAATTTTTAATAATGAAACTAGACAAGTTTGATAAGAAGAGTATTTATAAACTAAACTATTTTTATGTAAGATTTAATATTATCAATTTATCCAGAATTTAATGTGTTAATTTTTGCCCGGCGCATCCACCATTAATTTAATGTTATTTTCGAATATTATAGCTCAAACGCTGAAGGAGACACGGTTTATTCTTAGTACGACTTAATTCAAAATCTCACAGTTTCTCATTTAGAAAAGTTGCAAAATGAATTTCAAATCAAAAATGAAAATAAAACCTTTACCAAAGAAGAGTTTTTTACGACAATCAATGACATTTTCGACAATTCAAATTACTCCCAAGCCAGTATTGCATTATACGAACAAATAGAAAAAACCGGTGAATCACAAATCAGTTGGAGCAAATTTGTGGAATTTTTCTTAGAAAATTTAATGCCCACAGATCACAAAACAATCAATTTTCAAGTATCAAGTATTATTGCCATTCCTCAAACTAAGGTAAACACAATAATGTTTTTCTTTTTGGTGTAACAGATTTTATTACAGAGAGAAACAATAATTAAAATTGTTCTAATAGAAACTGAAAAATATTTTTGCTACGCTGTAATATCTAAACATGGCAGGATCGGTTTATACGACGGCAATATTAATTTTTTAACAACATACCAGTTAATAATGACTCGAGAAGATATTTACCGGAAAGAGGAAGACCGAAGAAGGAGGAACAGATGGGTTACGGATGCAATTTTTTGCGCAGATGTTTTAATGTTTATTGTGACTAACACGGCAAGAAGTGTGGTAATTTATGAAGCTTCTGGACTTAAACATGTACCGCTATATCTTATTTTGAGTACACCTAACATTGTTCAAGTAAGAATTTTTTTACAGGAATCTGTTTATAATGTAATCGAAACAATTTTAGTGTTTTGCTTACAAAAGTAGCAACTGTGATGAAGATGGCCAAAGTACTCTTTTTATGGGAGATGACAAAGGCATGGTTTTCTCGTTTGCATTTTTGCAGCCCAAGGCGGCACTGTTGAGGAAAAAACACAATGATAAAATTAATTTATTCTACTGGGATGTATGTATCGTACTTTTTTTATAAAAGCAAAAAAGATATATGTATGTAATAAATAATTTTGCAGGAGTTAACAGATGAAAGTGATTACATTATTGTTAAACGTAATGGGCGACCACATCAAGAGAGTGTGAAACGGCTAATGTATTTTGATGATAATGAAACTCTTATTTCTTGCAGCAAAGATTCCGGTGTGTCAATATTGACGCATTATATAGGCAATAAAAATAAACCTTACATTTTTAAGATACCAAAAGTAAGTAAAACCGTTATTTTAGGATGAGTTTTTACATTTATTAAAACACTAGGGATGTAACTGTTTTGCACTAAGCAGGATGCGTAAAATACTGGCGACAGGAAGCGAAAATAGTATACTCAGATTATGGAATCCTATCATTACTTCGAAACCTATAGCAATTTTAAAAGGGCACCAAGCACCGATTGTAGATGTTAAAATATTGGATAAGCAAAATTTACTTATTAGTTGTTCAGCTGATGCAGTAAGTTTCTATATTTTGTAATCACATTTACGACCTATTAGTTTTTTATGTAATTTTAGATGTTTAAATTGTGGGATTTAGAAAAACAAAAGTGTATTCAAAGTTTTTCTATCACTTTCCCATCTTTTAATGTGTTTGGAAAATTAATTGAATGGGGAATTGAATCTATTTATCCTGGTCCCAAGCGCACTTCTTTCAATGAGACTAATATCGAACTTTTTGAAAGATCACCAATATTAATTACTTGTTGTAATCATATCGCTGTTATTAAAATTCTAAATCAAAGCGATGAAATACAGAAAAAAATTGAATCACAAGTGTTGCCCCCACCTCCTCTACAAAACAGTGTTTTAATTCCCAAAATGTGGAGAACGTCTGATAGTGTCGAAATAATAAATAATAAGTACATATTTATTTTCAAAATGGAGTTTTTTTTATTTATATTTTTACAGAGAAGAACCAGTTGAAATTGATAAAAAAATTCTGGAAAAAAAACTAAAAGACTTGGAATTCATACTTAAAAAAGATCTGTTTGCAAACAATGGATCAAGTAAAAGCGATATTAATTTCAAGATTGCTACATTAGAACGAAAAAAACTGCTGGTGATTACCTACTGATTATGAATGTTTGATTTTTTATTTATCTGTGGAAATATTATTTAAGATGCAAGAAAACGTTGCACGTGGTGCTCCGTATTTGGCTCTGGAATTACTCGAAGTAAAGGATATTTACCTAACACCAAATCTGCCCGTACCCGAAAAAAAGAAAACGAAAAATATTGTTGAAAAAATTGAAAAAGTTTTGCAAGACGCAAGTTACAGGGATTTAGTTTTTTCTGAACCGTCTTCTAGTCGGTCGCCACGGTCCTCAAGAAGTAGTGTTATCGAGTTTGAATAGCATATTTCAGCTTACTTCTTGTAAATTTAATTCAATAATAAATAAATACGTATAGCAAACCATATTTTAATCTTGTCGACATTTAACTTGCGCGCCCCTACAATTTCAGGTAGATCAAAATGGCCGAAGTGAAAGTTCCCAGATGATGTTTGTGTTGTTTGGCGCGAAGAATTGGCGGGAAAATACCTTTTCTTTCCTGTTTTCGCGCTCACAGCAAGTGTATTGACATTGAGTGTGTTAATTGATTAAGTTGTAATTAAAAAGTGTAAAGTGCTTTGAATTAAAACAATTTTATCTATAACATACCAAATTTGGAACTTGAATTTGAGGTTATCTTCTTTTCATGCGCAGTTAAAAGTAGTTCTGGCTGACCGACAAAAAATTGTGTACGTATTCGCGCGTAAACGACGAAATATTTTGGATTTTAGCAGTATTTTCTTGTTGAAAATAAATGTGTAAAGTGGGAGAGACAGGAATTAATCGTGATTGTATTGTTTTTTGGTAGTATTCTGTGTGGATTCCCGCCTTTTGTAGGCGTTGTCAAGAGCTTAATGGTGGCTAGTGATCCGAATTTGTTTTCCCTTTAAGAAGCATTTTGTAATTGCTGGGAAATCATGGTGTTATCAAACGAAGCGGAGCTGGAAGAAAAACACTTAGAACTATGCAACAAATTACACCTGAGTCAACAAATCTCCCGAGACGCCTGGGAACGATTTGAAACAATCAACAAGAATTTCACTTTGGAGGTAAGTATTTCAGCCCCCAAATGAATAAAACCATTGTAAACCATCAAATTCTTCAGGGGGAGCCCCTTCATTGGATAGGTTGTGCAATATACGTATCATGTTGGAAATCCATTGCTGCAACAGCTGCACAAAACAGTGTTCACACTAATTGCGTTAATTTGACCAATCTTCTGCGTCACTGCAATTTAAGGTCAGTAAACAGGAACTTTGGTATATTTTTAACACAAGTATTTACAGCATAGCACAGTTCTTTTACAAAATCAAACAATGGTCTGACATGGCCAGCATGCCCGAAGAGTTTAAAAAGCGGATTGAGTATCTGGAAGGGAGCTTTGCTGTTGCTTACAATGTTTTTAAAGAATATCAGCCTCTATTTATGCAAATATTCGTAGCTCCTAGAGCTCAAGAAGCACATGAATTAGAGACAAACAAACACAGAAACCGGAAAAATAAGTAAGGTAGCGATCTGCTAAATCAATCTATTTCTACAAATTTGCTTATTTAAGACCTGTGCCTTCTTCTCCACTGAAAGTATTCGAGTTTTGTTGGACTTTGTTTATTACAATAAAAAGTGAAGATACAAATTATAACAATGATTTAGTCACTTCATGTCATTTGCTTATTGCAATTTGTGATTGGGCCTTCAAAAATGCGCTTCAAGCTAATCGTAAAGATCTTCTGAATCCTGATTTTAAAGGTATTTCGGTATAAATTTTAACATTTAATTTAATTTTAATTTTTAAAGGTCTTCCTGAAGACTTTAACCAACCCAGCTATATACCGCCTTCAGAGGCTCCTTGCGTTGTCAGTATCTTGTGTCCAAGCCCAGACATAATTACTGACTTGAAATACATAAAAGAATATCAGTTTAAGAAATCAATTAAGAACTATTTAGATCAAGGAGTTTTAATTGAGACTGACCAAGGTGATATTCTTGATTCTTCAGTCTTCGACCATAATTACAAGAACATTGGGACAGTTTATGAGAAAAATATCTTGAATAAGAGCGATTTCGATGAGCGAATTTTTCTAGGTGAGTTATGGTTGTTGTTACAGTTAGTTCAATCATATGGTAGCGATACTAAAAAACTGGCAGCTGCAACAAACAGCTGACTCTTACCTGAACAGATGTTCCTGACCTTGCCCTTAACACCTGTTCTTTCACTTACAGCTGAGTACAAAAGAAAACTATTGGTGCGAGACCCGAGTTTATCTCAAAATGCAGGTGAGTTGACTACATCAAGGAATCTTTGTAGAAACAAATGAATCATTTACAATTTTCAGCTGACAACACTTCAAGTCCAGAGTTATCTAAAGACATGGTACTTAATTTTTAGGTGGAAAAAAGACGGTTTTTTAAATTTCTGTTACTTTCAGGTTGTCAGCAAAGAATGTTTGACACCTCTCACAGGGCGGAAATATTTGGGTCCAAAAGAATCACAAGACTCGACCTCACATGTGACAGCCACTGAGAGCATTTCACGGCTTAATAATTTACTTCATGGTCGCCAACCAGCCCCCAGTGAGGCTTTAGTGCAATTGTTTGAGTAATTATAACATGTCAAGTGGCTAAACATGTCTACATTGATAATTTAAGGTCTTGTGCTCGCAATCCAACTGAGAGAATCAATCAAATTGTTACAAATCTGGGTGAGAGGTTTTTGGAAGCCCTTCCAACTGACCAAAGAGAAGTATCACAAAGAAGACTACAGCTTGCTACAACATTGTTTTATAAGTTTATTGAAAGTATTCTGCAGAATGAACGCTCAATACATGCTGACATATCAGTAAGTTTTTTTTCTTATTTTTATTGTTTGATTTCTATTTGTGATTTATTTTAGGCCATTGTCGAAAAAGACGTATTTTATGAGTGTATGTTTGCTTGTTGTTTAGAAATAGTTATTTATTCATACAATAGTGAGCAAATGTTTCCCTGGATATTGGAGTCACTGCAAATACAACCCTACAATTTTGTTAAAGTAATTGAACTCATCATTCGCTCAAGAGACAAGCTTTCAAGGGATACCATCAAACACCTAAATATGGTATGATTTCACGTTTTTATGTCGTTTTTATGAAATGAATCTTACCCTATGTATAATTTTAGATTGAAGAGACAATTCTGTCGTCACTTGTGTGGAAATCAGACAGTTTAATTTGGGAAGCAATTACTTCGTCCGACAGAGAAATTCCTAAATTTGAAGAAACAGCTTTACCAGGGCATATGCAAAATGAACCAAGTTCTGAAAATTCGACCTTGAGAAGCATTCTAAATTCCGATCCAAGTATTTTTATCAATTTTTTGGTTGTAAGATTGTTATGAGGTGAATTTTAGGACAAATTCTGTCGCCTGGCCCTTCTGCAACAGACAGATTTCAGTCGCCTGTGGCACATAGCAGTGCTGTGAATAGAGAATTGTTTCCTACAGTTCAGTCAGGTCAATCTTTGTTGCAGACGACTCATTTGAGTGAGTTTTAATCAATCAAATTGAATCATTTTATATCAAATTTGCTTTTTTAGTGATCAAGGATCGTACTGGGAATACTCGTATGATTCCTATCGTAAATAGTGAAACGCAAAAGAGTACCCCAGTACCAGTTCAACAAACCACTCCAAGACGCCAAGAGAATGTAACTCAAGCCAGGCCTAGAAGAACAGGAGGTGTGTCAATAGTATTCAGGAAAGTAAGTATAATAAAATTACGCTGTCTAGTTAAAATTTTGTGGTTTAATAGCATCCAAGTGTTAAACAAATCTGTTCTACTTTCTAGAATTGGGTTTATTTCATGATTTAAGGCCTTAGTCATTTAACAACTGTAGTAATTAAACGTTTTAATTTTTTCCCTGAATTGTTAAAACTTTACGTGATGCTCGTCATAGGAAAAGAATGACCATAAATTCGGCCACAAGTGTTAACAAAATTTCTATTACTCTGGTTTATAGAACAGATGTTCAAATTAACTGTGTGCACTCTAAATACATATTTGTAAAATAAAAAAATATTTCAGTTCTACAATTTATCGGGAGAAAGGATGGAACATCTGTGCACGCATTTGAAAATTACATACACGGACACAAAACGTAAAATATGGACTGTATTTGAAGAATTGGTTCGCAAAAATCACTGTGAACTGATGAAGGATCGGAATTTAGATCAGCTGTTAATGTGTGCCGTTTATATGATATGCAAATTAACTAAATTGAATAAAAGCTTCGCGGAGATCATAAAGAGTTATAGAAGCCAGCCTCAGGCTGACAGTGACATTTATCGAAATGTTTTAATCAGCAGTAAAAAAGTTGTTGGTAGGACTTAAATAATATTACTGTTGTAAGTTTTTTTTTTATGAAATATTTTTTTAGATGGCGACAAGACCGAGATTCTGGAAGAAAGAGGAGACTTAATACATTTTTATAACAAAGTGATTATTCAGGCAATGAAAAAATTTGCGCAAAAATTTGTGGTTAAAGGCGAAGAAAACGTAAGTATGCAAAACGTTTTCTGTTCGAAAGATTATATTTTTATAATTTAGAACGGGGATATACTTCTAAGTCCGCTTCCGGCATCTAGAGGTCAAGTGGTCCAAGTGTTTGATAACATCTTTATCAAGCCTTTAGAAAGTCCAACTCTGACTTTCGGTAATGGCAAAGTCTTAAACTATTACTTCAGCCGTAGCCCTTCTAAGGATTTAAAAGACATTAATAAAGCGATCAAGGGTAATGGTGTGACGGGGAAACGATTGTTAGTGGAAGGTGAAAATGATTTACCTGACTCGAAACGACTCGCAAAGAGAAAAGTTCAGTCTTTGATTGAAGAAAGAAGAAATCAAAACACTGAATGAAGTTTCAATTAGCTTTTAACGTTTATTATGTATAAAGTTTAATTCTAGTATAATTCAAACTTTTTTTATTATTAAAATTATTAATTATCGATTTTGGTATCAGTGTGATACCAAAATGATTGGAATTTTTTGTGCTGTTGTGATAAATTGTAAATTTTCCTAGAATGGAAAAATGTACTGAAACACGTAAAATAATTTACTTCAGCTTTTCATTTTAATTAATTTTAATTAAATTACGTGAAAGTTTTATTCTGTGTTTGTCTCTACTTCAATCAGTAAGAAACATCTTCATTAAGTTGATGGGGCAATTAATACGTTGTAAGAAGTGAAGTTCACTTCTATTTTAAATAAATTGACAAAACTCAGATGATCATTTTTGTTTTAAGATTCCTCTTACGATCACAAGCTGCGCTTTCTTCGAAAATCAATTGAGTGCTAGGTATTGTATTTGCCTTTACTAATGGTGGAAATTTATTATAGTCGGAATTTGCTTTGGCAACTGCAGGCTTTTATTTACATTATTTTCTACTTCTAATTATGAATTTTAAAATTGATTTTTTTTGTCCAAATGGGCATTATTATTACTACTACAAGCAATAATTATGTACTAAGTGCATTCTTGGACGTTTATGGCCTCTGAGAACATGTTTACGAGCGCCTTTAGAAATACTCCTAATTATTTTTGTCTAGGCCGCAAAACTCCAACTCCCTGTAGTGGATATTCAAATCTTTTTTTTTACAAATTTGTTTGTATTTATCACTATTTACTTAGTTAATTTTAAGCCTAAATTTATTAATCTCGAAACGAAATAGATAAGCAATTTTTTAACTACTTAAGTGAGCGTTTAAATACAAGACTTAACAGAAGTCGCTAAAAGTGTTAAGATTACACAAGCATTGTTGAATCATAATCGTCAAGTATTTACTTATTTAACATTTACTCCGCCAATATTTACCAAGTATTCTCAATGTTGCATCTTTCATGTTTTTCGGGGTAGTTTTGTTTTTATTTGGCTTAAGGCGCTTGCGCACGCGACTGGCGCGCCCTAAGCGCGACTAGCACCTGTTACATTCTTCATTGTTCAACGAGAAGCCGGCCGGCATAAAGTGCATAACCGTTATTTCATCCGCGTGTGCTCAAGAAACTTACACCATGTCTGAACAAGCTGAAACCGCCCCCACTACCCAAGAGGACCAAAAGACCGAAGTCGCAACTGAAGAAAAAGACGTTAAAGAAAACGGGACCGGTGAAGCCGAACCTGTTGCTGAACAAGAAAAAGAAGCCCCGAAAGAAATGAGGGCCGTCGTTCTCACTGGATTCGGAGGCCTCAAATCGGTCAAAATACTTAAAAAACCCGAACCTGCACTCAACGAAGGAGAGGTTTTGATCAGAGTCAAAGCATGGTGAGGGTTTATTTATTGATTTTTTTAATTATTTCGCGGTCTGATGCGAAAATGCAACCCACACGCCTGTCAGAAATCAATTGCCGATGTATTTTATCTTTATCGCAATTTGTTTTTTGGGATAGATTTTTTCATTTCTTCATTATTTCTTGTCTTTATTAATGGATTATTTCATTGGTCAAATTACGAGCTGTTATAATTAATTCGTTTTAAAACACAATTTTATTAATTTTAATTAAGTAAGGAATGCGGCTATTAATTAGAACAAAGAGAAAGAAGAGTAGAAACTGTCGTTTTCACACAAATCGCATAAATTTACAATTCTTAACACTTTAGAAAAATAAAAAAATCGTACTTTTAACACTCGCTTCACACCAACAATTTATTGTTGTTTATGTGGCTTCTTCAAAATTAAACGCGTTCATTAATTTATTGTTTATTGCCAAGTTTGATGAACTGATGTTTATCATTTTATTTTTTATTTATACCAGATGAATAAAAAGTATGGAACTAAACGTGTTTTGCTTAAACTACATATGTATTTATTTTTTGGAAAAACTAATTGCTGAATAATAAAGTAATAAAAAAATTTTTTTTACATAAATTTCAATTTTGACAAAAAAATTTCATAACTCAAAAACAAAACAAAATTTCGTTCTCAAAATACGGTCACATTTTTTATATTTAATTTACATTGATTATTATTTTCTAGAAACAAATGATTAAAAAAACCGCTTGGTTCCATACTTTATATTCATCTGTAGGTATACATAATGTAGGTAATATGCACTGTGCTTAATTACGTTTAATTAAAGTCTTTACAAGTTTTTTTTTTTTTTTTAGTAAATGTTCTTTGAGCTTAATATTTTGATGTAGACGCCTAAATGAACCTCATATTTATTTCAAAGAAGTTCTTATAATAAGCCCTAAAATCAAAGAAACGAGGAAACATAAATAGGGAGTTTATACTTTTGATGTAGCTTATCTGTCAACAAAAATAACCGAATAACTTTTAGTAAAGCTGAAGTTATTTCAATATTTTAAACTATGAAAGGACGAAGTGTATATTTATGCTACACAGAAACTGTTTCAGCACTAATTATTTCTGATCTTTATGGGTGTTTCGCGTTGTTTAATTTTTTTTTACAAAATGTGGAATTGCGGTTAAATAGACACATATTTAAGTACGAGTAATTTTCCTTTAAATTCTTGATCCCACTCAAAAAAAGGAAAAAAAAAACATCTCGAAATTTCGCAAACGCAAATCTCATAAAACTGAATTCCAATTCGAGGGTGTTATTTATTGCAATTAAGTAAATGCACGGATTTGTGAAACCTCGTCAACTTTATGAAATATCTTGTGTCACGTCGCACCATTGCTTTTTAGATGAAAAAATAAATTTCATTCAGGCATCGATGCGTAAAATTCATAGCGATTTATTAGATTCAGGAAAATTTCCTGAAAGGCAACTAAAGCAAAACATGTTTGTCTTTAGTAAGAATTTTTTATCATTTCTTTACGTTGATAAGGGAGGTCGCCAGTAATATTTTTATAAATTTTTATTATTATTTCTATGGGCTGATAATAAATTATAATTTTTATGAACGCAACAAAGCCATTTCCCTTTTTTGTCGATAAGGATGCAAGTTAGGTAATGTATTTATTATTAATTTATTACTAATTACGACTGATACATCACCAGCATTGTTACATTAATTTGTACATAAATTAAGATACCAAACTGGAACATCAGCGATATTTTGTATTGGCAATGCAAAATAAATTTTAAGCAACAACCAACACATGATCGTTTTTTTTTATCTTTTCGCATTATGTGGTAATCCACAAAAGCAAAAATTCGCACTTTCCGCCCTGGTATTCAATAAAAAAGTTCTTTGTTGGTTTGTGAATCGATGTATGAAACATCATGATAACCACAAAACCAAATTCAGTAGATGTATGATTCAAACACAGGAAGTATGGCTAGATTCAGCAGACATGTCGCTGGGAAATAATTCAAAAAGTGGATATGGAATGCAACAAAGAGGAGACCTTTTTCCGCTGCTATTTTACAATTAAGTCACTGTTGGATGACGACGGCAACCCTTCATGAAAACACAACCGAGCCTCATTAAAATTCTTTCAAAGATTTCAGGTAGACAACAGTTTGAAAATTGACGAGATACAAATACTTCCGGTTTTAATCGATGCCTGGCCATGAACTGCCATTATCTTTCGATTTATATTGACAACCGGGTCTTAAAAATACGGATTTGCATTCTAAATTCCAACTGCAATAAATGAATCATTCAACCGGAAATTGTTCTACTTTAAGCAAGTAAAATTATCTTTATATATTATTAACTTGATTTTAGTATCGATTCGCGGATATAATCATTCTAGCGTTAAATGTTGAACTTGAGTTACAATTTATTAATGGCTTACTTTCAGTGCTTTATTTATTAATGACTTATCTTTATCTGCCATGTTTTTGTTTTGTGGAATTACATTCACCGTTCCATTATTTAACAAACTAATATGTGTCCAAAGTTAAGCCTTAAAGCTGACTTTTCCCAGGAAATATTACTCACCTCGTCAGTCATCACAACCGACAATTTTCCTACTGGTTTTCAGTAAAATCAAACTCAGTGATTGATTTATTTCAGCGAGAAATGCTTGTATGAATATGATAACCTTTAAATTGGATCTCCCCTCGCTACTAACACACCCTAGCAATAATGTTCGTGTTAATTCTGCCACTATCCTTTAATTCTGTAGCAGATTTCAGAGGGGTTTTGTAGTGTGTTGGAAGATAAGCTACAATTTCAGTTGGAAACAACCTTTTTCCAAATTTTTTGGTTTGAATTTTGCGGTTAATTAATAAAAAAATTATAAGTAATAAATTTTCTGCTATCAAGGGCTTCGCTCCCAACAAGTCAAAATAATATAAGCTTGTCAATTTCTCCCAAAATGACGTCTCATTAATATTCTTTATTACTTTCCAGTTGCTGCCAGCATTACTAAAGATTGCTTTCAGCTGTTGTCAGTTAAAAGCTCAGCAGCTTAAAATTGAACAAAAATTAGACGTTTTTTTAAATTTCTTGAAATACATCGGTGGAATGTGTAGTTTTATTTGATGTGAACTTCAAACGACAATAAATTTCACATAAAATCTACAAATTTCAAAGTCATTAATTACATTATGGTTGCATTATTGACTGGGTCATAAACGAAAACAAATCTATTGAGATATTATGTAAATAATAAATTTTATTAGTGTATCCTGTATACAAAATAATGGTTTTGAAACCGGTTGTGTTATTTTGTGTTACTAGGTGCACTTGCGGCAGTTTTTATTGTCATCCTAAAAACTTTTAAGAATAAAGCCGGATTTTTTGCTTCTGTAATTTTTGAAACAAATAACTTGGGAAAACTCGATTCAAGCATATTTACATGTATATTATCATAATAATGACTCTTACGGAGTAATAAAATTTACAATAAAAATGAGGTAATATGACTAATTAATATTGCTACCGTGAATAATTGTTACAATTTAACGAAGGAATTTAGTCTTGGAAAATAAACATTTACACATTTCTTCATTTGAATTATTTTATAAGTAGGTTGATTAATAATACTCATCAGTAGTCTTCAACTAATAAGTTTTTATCGTGGTGAAAAAAACTCAATTCAAAGAGAATTATATAAATATCCGAGAAGGAATTTTTTTTTATTTTTATTTATGATGTTAGATACTGAAATGAGGGCTTGTTGGCTTTACGATCGCCATTTCCTCCCCTATCTGACGCGAAAAATTTTGAAGACTTAAGATAGCTTTATCTTTGTTCTCCCAATAACTTTCAACGCCTAATAAAGCTTACCAACAAGAGTGATGGACGGTTTTACCATGTTGCACTTTCTATTTTTACCCTTCCGTCTGGCCAATCCAAAGGGGTAAATGC